GCCTGCGGGCCCTCCGCCGCCCAGCGGCCGCCGCGGAACACCAGGGCCGCGTCGCCCAGGCGCATGCGCGGCGCGCCGTAGTCCAGGCCCAGCTCGGCCTGCCGCGTGCGGAGGTCCAGCAGGTAGAAGGTGGACATGGAGGAGAAGCGGCGCAGAGGGGGCCGCCGCGGCGAGAAGCGCCGCGAGACGTGGTCGGCGCAGAGCCGCCGCAGCTGCGCCCACAGGCGGCCGGCGGGGCCGAGAGCCAGGCAGGCGCAGGCCTCCAGGGTGCGGGGGCCAGGGCTCCGGAGCGACCAGGGCGAGCCAGGGGCGCTGCGGAGAGGGCGTGCGGTGAGCGCCGGCCGCGCTGAGAGCGCCGGCCGCGCTGGGGCCCTGCGACGCGGCTGCCCGCCTCGCTGAAGCCCCCGCCGTCCCCCCACGGTGGGAGTTGGACGTGTGACCCTCCAGCCTCAGCCTCCCCTGCCGCGGGCTACACGCGTGCGCCGGTGCAACCTGGCGCAACGATTACCGTTTTCACGCTCGGCCTTGGTTCCGAGTATGTGGGTGGTGGACTAGACCTTGTCCTCTGAACTGCCACGGGCAAGGGGAGCTTGGGTGGAGTACTGTGCTTTTTTTTTTTTTTTCCTGGGGTGGTGGCTAGAAATTAGGCTAGGCGGGCCTTGGGCAGAAAATTACCATCAGTCTCCAGGAAAGTGAAAGTAAGCCTGTTTTGTTTAAAATTGGCTGCCTCTAAGTACCTGGTGCAGGTAATTAAGAAGAAAAGGTTGTGGAAAACTGCTTAGCCCTTCCCAGGAGACTCATGCACCTCCTACAAGTCCTGTCAGAAAAGTGGAGTTGCCAGGGTACAGCTCTAGTTCAGACTCAGCAGTCACCCTTCCCAGACAGCTCGCCCCAGGGGGTGAGGGACCGCAGAGACGGACATGTACTTGGAGAGGAGAGCAGGGCTGCCAGGGGAGTGCAGGGACCGTGGGCCGAACGTGCCTCGTGGGGAAGAGCTTGGCTGGGGCTGGTCGAGCGAACAGCAGAAGAGGACGCTGGAAAGATGGACTAGAGCGCCCAAAGGTGTTGTAGGCTGCTCAACAGTTTGGGTTTCGTTCTATGGGCAGGGTCAGGCTTAGGTGTGCACCCTGCAGAGCGTCCTGTGGCACGTCTGGCATAACCACCCAGCTGCCTTCATGGGTTAGCCTTCAGATTGCACCTGCTCAATGCCAAGCCCTTGTCCTGGCAGGTGTCCCAGCACAGCCTGTGCCTGCCCTCAGGGTGCTCCAGCCCCCTGAGAAGATAGATGTGTGCACAGATCATAGTCCAGAGTGCTTATGGACATCTGGGCTAACGCCCTTGGCCTAGACCTAGGCTCACAGTTCAAGGTCACAGTGCTGCACACACCAGACAGGACTTTTGGCTGAAGCAGACTATCCCTTCAGGGACTGAAGTCCATATAACTAACACATGACTCCCAGTCTCCCTGTCTCTTCCTCAGTTAGTGTGAGAAAAGACCATGTTGTGATTTCAATTCCTCTTTGCCCCTGCAGGCAGACAAGAGGTAACTGGGGCAAAGTTTCTTGTGTTGTCCTTCCTTAATGTTATGCTCGGGGGGCCGGGGAGATGGCTCAGTGGAATAAGCACTTCCCTGGCAAGCGCAAGGGCCTGAGTTCAATCCCCAGTTCCACCAAAAAAAAAAAAGTAACATGCACTCCTTTCTCACAGAGATCTGGATAGAGGCTGGGTGATGCGTCTGGGTGATGCCTCCCCTTGACTGCTGCTGAAAGCCCACTTACCAGGGGGTTCCTCCCCACAACCCTTGTGGCATGCGGTGCCTCACCTGGAAGATGTGGTAGAGGTGCCACCCTGCTGTCCTAGGCCCAACCCCATCTCTGAATCTCTCAGCTCTTGTCTACCAGCTATGACTCACAATGCCTTCAGGCAGGGCCAATCCCAAATCAGAGGTGCTGACCTTGGGGAGCAGGGTGTGCTGGTAGACACCTATAAACTCAGCACTTGGAGGCGGAGGCAGGATCATTATGAGTTTGAGATCAGCCTATGCTACATACTGAGTTTAAGGCCAGGCCGAACTACATAGTGAGACCCTGCCTTAAACTAAAACCAATAAAAGACATCCTAGATTTCCCCTGGTTGACTTGTTTTTTTCAGTACTGGGGTTTGTACCCAGGGCCTTTGTACTAAGTTCCCAAGCCCTTTTTACATTTTTTAAAAATTATTTATTTATTTTTTGTGGAACCGGGTGTTGAACTCAGGCCCTTGTGCTTGCCAGGGAAGTGCTTACTCTACTGAGCCATCTCCCTGGTCCCCATTTTTTAAATTTTGAGGCAGTGTTTCACTGAGTCATTGTGTTGCTCAGGCTGGACTTGAACTTACCCCTGCTTCAGCCTCCCAGACAACTGAAATGACAGGCACATGCTTCAGCCCCTGGCCTGTTCAGTAAATTTGCTGAGTACTTGTTCTAGACATTCTAGGAGAGTGAAGTTGTGCCATCCTTAACTGTTGTTCTTGGGCTGGGGATGTAGCTCAGTGGCATAATGCCTGCCTGGCAAGTACAAGGTCATGAGTTTGATTCCCAGTACTTACCCCAAAACAAAAAATTGTTGTTCCTGACAAAGGAATGGAACTGAAGTGGTTGTGAGTCCAAAAATTTATTTTAGGGCAGTGGTGGCAAGCCTGTGGCATGTGTGCTGTGGGGCGCCACAGCCCTGTCTGTCGCATGTCAGCCAAGGTGTCCCGGCAGCTGACTGTCAGGCTGAATCGCAGTGTTGGCACTTGTGATGAATCAGCGGGTTGTGTTTTGCAGTGTGGGCATCAGTCTGCACGGTTCACCATCCCTGCCCTGGGAGATGGCTGTGGTTTAGATGTGGCTTGTCTGCCAGGCCTTGTGTTCGGGGTGCTCGGCCTCCTGTGTGGCAGTATCAGCTGTGGTAGAGCGAGCCTGCCTGCCTGTCCATCTTTCCCTCCCTTTCCTTCCCCTCCCCACTCCTTCACTTTGCTCTTATTTTCTTCTTTGGGGCTGGGTCTTATTCCTGTTAGGCAAATGCTCTACTGCTGAACTACATTCCCTGTCCCTAGTTCCCCAGACCAAAGGGGAAAAAAGGTGCCAGGGTTGCTGGAAGTGCCTTAGGAGGGCTCAGGCTGGTCCCAGGTTGGTTCTAGAGTGAGGGTTGTCATCTGAGTGTGTCCCTCCCTGCTCTGGCTGTCAGTTTCACCTTGCAGTCTCCCTCCACATGTGCTTCATGAGGAGATGCAGTGAGCAGAAAGACCTCCCTCGAGCCAGAAGATGCCAGCATCCTAGCCCTCCAAAACTGAGAGCTCAATAAACCCTCTTCTTTATAAAGTTCCCAGTCTCAAGCATTTTGTCATAGCAGTGGGAAACTGAGGTAGCCATACAGTCTCTCATGAAGCTGGTTTGGGTCATCATAGGCTGGTTCTCTGGAAATAGACCCCAAGGAGAGTGATGTGTGGAGAAATGCTCTCAGGAGGAGGAGGAGGATAGCAGAGCTGGGCAGGCAAAGACTAAAGCAAGCTCAGTGTGCTGCCAGGCGGAGTTAGCTTCCACGCTTCAGTCCAAGCCCATGGGGAGCCCGAGCAGCAGCTGCATTGCAGTTTGGCCTCCTAAGGAAGGGGCTTCCTTCCCCACATCCCAGTCACCATAGGCCAGTGGTGACGTAGCACACACCTGGGCTCCTGGGCTGGGTGCATTGCCAGACATACCTGCAGGGCTTAGCATGGGGCACCACCAGCATGACACACAGAGAACAGGTGGCAAAAAGGAGAGAGTCTTTTTTTTTGTGGAACTGGGGATTGAACTCAGGCTCTTGTGCTTGCCAGGGAAGTGCTAATTCTACTGAGCTATCTCCCCAGCCCCGTAGTATAATTATTTTAAGATTTATCCATGTCGTCACATTTATTTACAGTTCATTCCATTTTCTGAGTAAGTAGTAGCCTATTTTATCTGTGTATCCCACAGTTTGTTTTTCTATTTGCCTGTTGGTGGGAAGGTTGATTGCTTCAGTTTGAGAAAATTACAAATAAAGCTGCTTGAACTCATCTGCACAAGTCTTCGTGTGGACACATTTTTCATTTTCTTGAATTCCCAGGAGTGGACTGGCTGGTAATATGGTAGGTATATGTTACATTTTAATTTTATCATTTTCTTTTCAAGACAAGGCTATGTACTTCATGCTGGCTTTGGATTTACTGTGTAGCCCATGCTGGCCTTGAAATTACAGAAATGCTTCTTTCTCAGCCTCTAGAGTCCTGGGATTACAGGCATGTGCCACCACACCTGGCTCTACATTTTTATGAAGCTACCAAACTGTTAGGGTATTTCAGGGTGCTGGGGACTGAACCCAGGGCCTCCTGCTGTGAGGCAAGCACTGTACTGTCAGGGTTGTATCCCCAACATTGCTGTGGGTGATGTGGTCCTGGACGGGTTTGTAGGTTCTTGTGTGCAGCAAAGAATTGGACATGCATATGACGATAAGAAAGCAGCAAAGTTCATACAGGTGACAGTGCATGCAGAGCAGGCTGGCCCTGCAGAAAGGAAAGTGGCAGGAGTGCTAAAGGCTTTGAAATTAAGACTTTAAATGTGCCAGGTTGGGGCACCTCTTGCTGGGTTTTCAGAGCAGGACTGACAACATGGTTGACAGGTGCTGAGTCATGTCCCATAATTCACTCTGGCCTAACAATGCTGGAGGCTGGCACACATGTCCTGGTTTGGCACTTAAGAATTTTACAAGCAGGGTTCAGGACTCTTTGTCTCTGCCTCCAGGTGATAAGCCTTAAAGTTGGGGGGATCTTGGGGTGTTACCCAAATTGTAGTGGAGGTGAATGCGCCTCTAGCCCCAGTTGTAGTGTGTGTGTGTGTGTGTGTGTGTGTGTCTCTATCTATCTATCTATCTATATATATATATATA